CTCTCTAGCAAGTGGCGTGCAGTGGTGGGAGCTGCCTCCTACCTCCCTGCACCTGCCAAACAAGCCATAGCTCAGTCCTGTACCTGCCTCACCCCAGCTAGGCAACGCTTGCCCCAGCCCCTGCCCCAGCCCCAGCCCCTCTCCTTCACCGCAGGGGGCCTTGATCTGCTGCTCCCACTCCCTTTCCTTTCCTCCTCCCCTTCCACCACACCAGACTTACCAACTGCACACAGCTCTTCAAGCTGCTGGGCTGGTATTGGAAATCAGTATCGGCCAATATGCCTCCTTAAAGATTGGCTATCGGCATCAGCCCCAAAAATCTCTATCAGTGTACCCCTGCTGTTATGTGATGACACATCTAAGGACAAATTATGTGAGTAGTGTGTGAGGGTTGTTCAGCAAATAATAATTAAACTTGTTTTGTTTGAATTGAATGTGAATGAAACATGGATGCAGTTAAGTAAATTTCTAGTCATTTCATATTTTATGTCAAAAAGAAGAAACTCCCTTTTGTAAAAGGATATTTTTCACAATTCTAACCACCAGAAAGTATTTGTACAATAAGAGAAGACTGGGCTCCTCGTATTTTTATAGATTTTATAGATTGTTATGATTTATCTTTGTTGTAAAACAACATAGATAAAATTAAGCATTTTAAGTTGATGAAAACCATATTTAATACTTAGCGCTGACTGAAATATTGCCTGATTATTTAGATGCCTAAATACCAATTTAGGAACCCAGCTTTAAAGAAAATTTTGACTTTGCTTTTTGTAAATCAGTAAATTGAAAGTGATCATTCTTATATGCTTTGTATAAGCACTACAAATCTTTAATCTTTCTTTTCATTGCAGTTTTAAATTACTTATGTATATAATACTTATTTTTGGGTAGTTGTTGAAATGTTCCAGATATGCAACTACTTATAATATAGGTAATGTGGGTAATTAATGTTTGAACAGAAGCCTTCTACATTTCCTGTTTCCTTTCATTTTCAAGCTTTTATCTGGTTTCACATAGTTTGTCCATTAATTACATTTAATACCCAACTCAGTCTGAATGTGCAACTTAGCAGGTTAGTTTGTATTTAATTTTTTCAGCTCTCTTCCAGAACTTCTTGAAAAGAAGAGGCTCATTGATCTTCATACAAATGTTGCAACTGCTGTTTTGGAACATATAAAGGTACTGTTATTTGTTACAAAAATTCAGATGCTCTGAAAACTTAGTCTGCCCTTTCAAACAACAGTCTGTTGACACTACTTGAATCTGAAGATTTATATCTGAACAAATTAAGGCAGATCAGACAGTCATGGCTTCCAAAACTATTACTTTGGAAAGTGTTACAGTGAATGATATCATCTGCTCTTGGAAAGTACAAAACAACAGCCTTTAATTTTGGTTTATGTGCGTGACAATTAATTAAATGTATCATGAAAATCTTAGGTCAGAATTGTTCACTGATTTATCTTGTTTATTTGTGATGGCTAGATGGTAGTGGTGACTGTTTAGTGTGGGAATCTATCTTCAGTAATATGAAAGCTTCAGGTAAATAAAGACTGTCAGTATTTATTAATGAGAAATATTTTCTTTTAAATATATAAAGAACTTGTTAACTCTGAAAGCAAAATTAAAAATCCCTCCCATGAGATGTTCTGTCAGAGGAAGCCCAATTGGAGATGCTTCTGCAGAATGAAGAAATTCAGTACCAGAACACAAAAGAGGCCAAACATTCCTACTGGTGATCAGCGCCCCTGCATTATTTTATACTGTCACTTAGCTAGCTTGTGCCATGTTCACATACATTTAGATCTCTCAGTTGGATTAACATTAGGCATCATGTTTGATGGAAAGACATCCAAGCTAGACCATATAAAATGCTGAGGGACAGGGATTTCCATTTCTGTCTGTTTTTAAGTGCAAAGTGGGGGCATGGGAGGTCTTCTGTACCCTTCACTCCCAAGTAAATGTTCTCATAGAGCTACCATGTTGCGATTCCTTTTGCTTTGTCATCTCTCTGAACTTGCGAGCCTTTTATTTGTTGCGGTACAATGATCTAGTTAGTTGAGCCTAGGCCAGAGAAAGGTGCTCCCAATCAACTTAACTTAGTGATTAGGGCATTTTCCTGGGAATGGAAATTGGAGGGAGCATTTTGGAGGAAGACAGTATCGAACTACCTGAGTGAGTGTACTTATCACAGTACTGCTTTATAAAAGGTTCATAGCATCACTGCTTCTGTTCCCTACCAGCTCTGTTTTGTTTTGTTTTTCCTGAAAGTGGCTGTGACTGCTGTGCTTTGTATGGCTCTTAGTAGGTATTTTTAGATGTGGTCTGATTAGACCCCAGATTTGTCCCCTCATGGGACTTAGGATGCCTAGTTTAGTTTGTGAATGCTGATCAGACTTAGACATAAGAATTAATACTGAGCCAAACAGCTCAGCCAAGATGGCAGTAATTCTTGGCCTACCCAGTAGTAGAATTTTAGGCACCTAAATGATTTTAGTGCCAAAAATCAGGTGTTTTTCAAGCATCTGCCATACTCTGACTTCAGTGGTTAGGCCTAATTCTTATGCATCTTATTCTTGGAATTAGATGCTTAAAATCTGCTGATACTCAATTGCAGGGGTCTCTAAGGCCATGTCCACATGAGCATGGACGTTTGGTTCCCCAGGGACACAGCGGTAGCACACCTTGTGCCACCATTAGTTGTCCCCAGGGAACACCTGTGCCACATGCCCTCTGGCATGCAGCAGGTTACCCTGGGTGGGGTATAGGAGGCTGGGGCCAGCAGTGCACTGGCTCCAGCAGCCTTACCTGGGGCCCTGGGGGTCTCCCAGGGCTGTAGCAGCAGCAATCCAGCCACTCAGAGCCTGGCTGACAACCAAAGTATGGATCCAGCCAGCCTGGCTCCGGTCTTGAGAGGCACACACTGCCACTACATGTGCTGCTCCATTTTTTTGCGCAGGTTTTTTTGACGTCTGGATATCTAGAGGTAAAAAAAAAAAAAACCACCCCGCACTGCTCCCTTGCACCACAGAGAACGCCTGAACGTGTGGTATGTGGTGCTGCAAATGAGTCTGTGGCGTTACATACTGCATGGCTGTGCTCTTCTGGACATGGCCTTAATGCGCATGAGAGTATTCACTCTTGTGGTGGACTATGGGTTTTATTGTGATAATTCTGTGTTAACTGTGTTCATGTTATAATATTGCATGACTCGGTTTACTTCAGTAGCCTGCATGCAGAGAATGAAGGGTTAAGTTCCAGGGCTGTCTGTATGCAGGACAAAACAATATGGTCCTTTAGCATAAACAGTCTTGAATCATTTTGTTGACATACCAAATTATAGTGAGATGCCCAACACCCAGAAAATGTGCAGAGGAGATGAACATAACAATGGAAGAGCTGGCTGGGGATGAAGCAGCCTGTCAGCCCCCATCTAAAAGAGTCTGGGAACTGAGAGAAGCGATGGAGTTGGAGAGACTGGAAAGGGAATAGCTAAATTTCTGTGCGGGGTGCTAACGACTGTGCAGGTTGGACTGGGTAGAAAGGGGAGAGAGAACCTCTGAGTGGCTGGTCTTTGCTCCAACAAATGCCTTTACTGAAGAAACTGTCTGCTTTGCTGCTTGGAACTTCAGGGTGCACTCCATCTCCCCAGCTAGAGGCAAAGTTTCTCTCTTGGGAGCAGAATTATCATATTTATCCAAATCCAAGATAACTTTGAATTTAAGACAACCCTCCCCCAGTAATTACATTCCCATACATATAATGGGGGTGGGGGTGTGGCGCTCTATGTCAAGGAGCACTACACATCCTCTGCCAGCAGAATGGGGTCAGAGGAAGGGTAGGCCGAAGTGCTCTGGGTCAAGATTCAAGGGGGCCGTGGGGAGAGCGATTTGACGGTGGGGGTCTACTACAGACCCCCCAACCAAGGGGAAGAGCTGGACTGGGAACTTTTGGGCCAGCTTGCAGAGGCACTTAGGGCAAGGGATGTAGTTGTCATGGGAGATTTAAATTACCCGGACATCTGCTGGGAATAACAGTCAGCCAGGTCAGACCGTTCCAGGAGGTTCCTGGCCGAGATACAGGACCTCCACTTAATTCAGGAGGTGCACAGTCCCACCAAAGGAAATGCCCTGTTGGACC